ATTTGTTGCAGTTGGCTCTGACTGAATCAGTTGCTGCACATTTTCTGGCTTAGTCTGAACATAAACATGCATTAAATCACTTCAATAAAAATACATATTTTGTTAGAATAACAAAAAAAAGTACCAAGTACTATCATTCTAGACATAAACCAAGAAAATGTTGTTGTTGCGGTTTTGTATTTTAGAATTACCATGATGTTTTTACCATTACTGCACCATGGTCTTGCTACAGTACTTTTTTTTTGTAAAAGTAACCAATACAAAATGAACAAAAGATGCATTACAAATGAGATCCACCATAGGAACTTTTAGACACCCGCTCTTAAATTTTCTACAAAATAAAGTTCACTCAAATTTGTTGCGGCTGGCTCTGAATGAGTCAGTTGCTGCACATTTTCTGGCTTTGTGTGGTTGATCAGAAGGATGTACAGGTGCCCCTCCCCATACTACAACACACTACCTTCCCATCTGCTAGCTGCACATTTTCTGGCTTTGTGTGGTTGATCAGAAGGACGTACAGGTGCCCCTCCCCATACTACAACACACTACCTTCCCATCTGCTGGGTGTTGCCATGGGGACAGGAGCCAAGCAGGTCTAGAGGAAGTACTGGTGACGTCTGCCTTCTCAGATTGCACTATCCTCCCAGTATGACTCAATTTTTTATATTCTCATCATCTAACCAATCCTGTTTCTCTACGCTCGTTTACTTTTACGTAACGGCAACAACAGCATTTGTGCTTACTTCTTAACTTCTGGAACGCAGTCGATGTTTCTGTCAAACAGATGAGTGACTGAATGCTGTATGGCTTCGTGTTTGAAGGGTGAGGCGGTCCCAAACACAGTGACGTTCGGGACAGTGGAACAAAGTTGAGCGACTGCTTGACCCTAATATGGAAAAAGAGGAGAAAATCAATAGTTTTTGTCACAGTTTTGAATTAATTTTGATCATATTCCAACATAAGCCAAATAGTAAAGCTGTTTTGATTTTCACTTGTTGAACTTGGAAAGCTGAAAATCAATACTGGATCAGTACGATGATGTTTTGTTTCCAAATTCCCATTTTTCTATAAGCTAAAATAAGCATAACTTTAATATCTGCGACTTCAAAGTTTCTTTACTAACCCTTTCCCTCAAAGCAACAGACTTACCACCGCACCTCCTGCTGAGTGAACTAATACAGACATCCCCTCCCGGAGATTGGCCACTTCAAACAGCATCATGTAGGCAGCCACGAAGTTCATAGAGAAGGCAGCCGCCTCTGGGAATGTCATGTCGTCTGGGATCTTATACACAAAATCCAACGGTGTGCACACCACCTCTGCCCAAGCATTGTAGTTTACAAAAGCCATCACTCTGTCACCTATCTGAAAGGAGGCGAAACATGTCCTTAAAGGAATAGTTCCCCCAAAATGAAAATTAGCTGAAGATTTACTCACCCTCAGGCTATACAAGATGTAGATGAGTTTACTTTTCAACAGATTTGAAGAAATTTAGCATTACATCACTTACTCACCAATGGGTCCTCTGCAGTGAATGGGTGCCGTCAGAATGAGAGTCCAAACAGCTGATAAAAACATCACAAGCAATCCACACGACTCCAGCCCATCAATTATCATCTTGTGAAATGAAAAGCTGTGTGTTTTTAACAAACAAATCCATCATTAAAACATGTTTTATCTCCAAACCATTGCTTCCAGCTAAAATACAAATCCTCTATCCATTATATGCTTTCTCCAGTGAAAAGGTTGTCTCGTCTGATGAGTCAGGATGGAAATATGCACAGATCAAGCACCGTTTATAAGCAGAAATAGTTCATAACCGTTCTAAACAAATATGTTGGTGGATTTTGATGTGGGAGGACAACAGGGGATGGACTTTTTCACTGGAGGAAGCGTTATTATGGATTATGGCTTCAATCATTTTGGCCAGAAGCACTGGTTTATAGTTAAAACTCTGGATTTGTTTCTAACAAACACAGAGCTTTCTGCTTCACAAGATGTTAATTGATGGACTGTAGTGGTGTGAATACTTGTAGATTTTCATGATGTTTTTATCAGCTGTTTGGACTCTCATTCTGACGGCACCCATTCACTGCAATAAATCTACTGGTGAGCAAGTGGCCCAAATCTGTTCCAGTGAAGAAACAGATGGCCTGAGGGTGTGTAAATCTTCAGCAAACTTTCATTTATGGGTGAACTATTCCTTCAAACTCTATTATTATTATCAATAATTTTAGACACCAGGACACCAGACATAAAACCAGGACTTTTTTTTTTTTTTTCAATTCAAACAATGAACATTTTTATGAACGGTTAGAAAAGTGCTAAACACAATATATTCCTGAATGAGTACACAACCAACATATCAGCATTTAAAACATTTCTGCACATACCTCAAAGCCTTTGGTGTTTTCTCCAACACTCTCTACAATCCCAGAACACTCAAATCCAGGCACAAGGGGCGTTTTTGGAGGATTGTCAATATTTCCTTGACGCACCATTAAATCAAGAAAGTTCAGTCCACTGTAAAATTAAATGTTGATGTCAAGATAATGTGATAATTAATTCTAGTTCATTTTAATCATTAATGTAATAACAAAGTATTCTGAACTCCTAAACTTATCAGGTTCACCATACACAACAACAATTTATATATATTTTATATTTTACAGTTCCACGATATTACACCAATGTTTAAATGTCCAAAGAGTAGTCAAGCACATCAAGTATCAAATAGATGAGGATCTGCTCGGAATATATTTCTAAATGTGACACAAAACTGTTAATGTTTTGTTCATATAATTTAATAACCCAAAGTACACATTAAAACGTGTAACCTTGTACAGCATATGGTTTGAAATCCCTGCAGTGTCAGCATCGAACCTCCAAAACCACCAACATTCATATCATGAAATATTTAAATCCTAAATAACATTACTTATATGGCTATTAGATGAAGGCACTTGATCTTCTTGCTGCAACATGTTGCTGCTGCTGCTGCCAGTCGTGCGAACTCTCAGATGTGCCACATCACAGTTATTACGCATGTTGAAAAAGAATGACTATTCAAGCTGAGATATTTACCATGTTTTCACGCGAATTTTGACTTCTCCTTCTTGAGGCTCTGGCATTGGTTTTTTGGTAACTTTGAGTTTGTTTAGACCACCAAAGCCCGTGAGCAGCACAGCCCGCATTTCTTTTGAATCTACAACCGCAGAAACGGGATTGTCCGGCTCCTTCTGGTCTATCATTTCCTCGGTCTCTTCAGCAATCTCAGTCCCTTCATTTGCCATGTCTGAAGGTGATGTGAACAGCCTAACGGTCTGCCGAAGCGCTCCTGGAGACTGCGGTCTGCTCCTGCCGCACCATCCACTAGTGATGTTCGAATCGTGAACGAATCGTTCTTTCGAACCGTTCATTGGAACCGATTCGCACATATGTAAATCACTGGACTGTTAAGGAGATTATTGGACAATGTATGAGACTTTTTCGAAAATAAAGCGCTAAACAGTTTAAGTAAATATTTTTGCCCCTCCAAAAACAAATACTTAAGTGGCTCAAGTGAGTCGATAGATCAGTTATTGAAACGGCCGGTTCACTGAAACTAAAGATACTTGAGATATGGGACAAAACAGGTCCAGCAAGGGTAACTGCTATTTTCACCTCTGCAGAGTACATCAGTGTCAGACAGGCTCTGCTAAGTTTTAGTTTTAGAATATTTTAAATCCTAATGTTAATATTTCCTGTGTCACAGCCATGATATGTCAACACCATCTTCCAATTTCTGAGGAAATTATTTGAAATATTTAGATAATTTTATTCTCCTGAAGCAGGTTCCATTAGCATCTAGCATCAACAGAAAAAATTTAAAAAATGCTACTACATGAACTCCATTGGTTTTGTGAAAGAAATGCCAAATTTGTCAACACCGTCAGATGTCACCACCATAAGATTTTGTGTTCCAATGATATATCAAAATACTTAAACGTGACTCTTGAATAAAAGCTTTATAAATAACATACTCACTGTTTGTTGTGTTTGTTTTAATACAGAAATGGACTGATTCAATGTATTTGATAGTTAAAATGACTACAAATTCAGGTTTTCGTCACCTCCGTCAGATGTGTCAACTCCGTCAGTTGAATATTTTGGTAATATTTCATTATGATATTTTATATTTGTTGTGGAATTGTTGGTCACATGTGAAAGTGTAATCTGTCTGCTAACACGAGAATGTGTTTTGAAATGTTAAAAACATCTTGAATGCTGTTAAAGATAAAGCTGAAATTATATTACACAGTCCAAGGTAAAAAAAAAAAAAAAAGCATTTTGTTAAAAAAATAGAAAAGTTGGGAGGTTGAATCAAAGCATAGCTCAGTACATATAAAATACATAAATGTACTTTCATTTGTCTGAGTACAAGGTTTTATTTTTTCAATTTTGCACCGTTTTGTCCCACTTCTCAAGAATGACATACATTTAATCCGCAAGTACAATAATAAACAGGAATATTTAACTAAATATTTACGTCGATACTAAGAACTACGCCGAAATATGGACTTCTGCCACATCGATTTAAAGATTTTGAACCACTGAAACGAACTGTCCGAACGAACCGATTCGCTAAAATGAATGCTTAACACTGGAAAGCAGAACATAATGTCACATACGGTACCCAAATAAGCTACAGTACCGTAAAACTAGTAATAGCCTACAAAATAAATAAATAAAATAAATACTTGATAAGGAGGATTCAGAAAATAGTTCTCTATATAATGAGACCACTGTACCTGTATTAAATTGGCAAAGCAAATTAAAATACCACAAATGAAATGCTTTTTTTGTTACAAACCACAAAAATGACATCTAGTGGTGAAAATGGTCCATGCAGTTCATTTTAAAAAAATACACGCATCTAAGAAATTACATAAGAAACAAAAACAACAAAAAAATTAAATAATCATTATTGGTTTGCTTGTCCTAGAATACAATCAGTCTTCTGCCACACAAGGGAAAAGGATGTGATATAATTTAATGGATCAACAGACCTAACAGCAGAACAGAAATAAATCAGATAACTGACAAAGCTACATCAAGTGTAATTGTACACAAACAATGGGATCAATAAACTACTGAACAATGACTGAAGATTCAAACCATCCACATGCCTTGCACTCTCATTTACATTTTTCTTTCACACTCTCATTTACAGCAAAAACAACATGACTTTTATTTTGTGCGTATTACAGCATTTATGAACCATATCTAACTGTACATCTTTTATTCATAACATCTGTAAAGCATTTATCTGCCACTGTTATAACTCTGCATAATTCACTTTAAAAAGAGAGACAGACTGAGACTGAGGTGTGTGATTGTGATATAATATTGTAGTGAGACAGCAGACTGACATGATGTGAGAATGACGCTGAGCAGTTCCTATTTTCTAGGAACATCAGTGAAAATGCGTAGACCATGCATGGCTTTAATCTCATCTTTAAGAGCCTGTTGAACAACAAACCACAGATTATGATTTACACTGAATACTATTTTAATGACATGTATTGTGATCTCATAACTAATGTTATAACTACAGTAATGAATTAGTCAGACAGACAGACAAATGATAAGATGAGACCAGTGGCCTGTTACACAAAGCTGGTTGAACAAACACAGAGTAGGTTTAGAGTTGACAATTTTAAACAAATCCAATCCAGGTTAGATCTGGTTCAGTGGGTTCTCATAGAGTTTATGCAATTCACTTCTCTGTTGAAGGTTAAAGGGGTCATATGATGCTTTTTTAAAGATCATTATTTTGTGTATTTGGTGTAACAGAATATGTTGACATGCTTTAATGTTCAAAAAACACATTATTTTTAAAATACTGTACATTATTGTAGGTCCTCTATGCCCCGCCTCTCTCAAACGCTTCGTTTTCTACAAAGCCCCCTCCTTTGACAAGCGCAGTCCGCTCTGATTGGCCAGCTGACCCAGTGCACTGTGATTGGCCGAACACCGCAAGCAAAACGTCGGAAATGTAACGCCCCTTACCATAATCACGAGCTTCATCTTTCAAAATGTAGATATGTGGGGTGTGTTAGAACGAGCCGTTTTAGGGGGGCGTGGCAGAGTCTTAACTTTGATAAAGAATATCTCTTTGGTTTTGAGACTTCAGGGATCTTATCTATGCACAATCAGCTTGTAACACTCCAAAGAGAAAGGAAAACTTGAAATCGCATCATATGACCCCTTTAAGAGTTTGTTATGATAAATGTCCAAGAAAAAAACAGTTGCTGCCATGAAAGTTTGAAAAGGCTACTTTGTCTCTAAAATTCTTTCACTGTGAAGTGATTTAATTTTTAGCAAGAGATACAGGGGGAGTAGCTTTATTGTATCAGATGTCACTTTGCTCATAGCTGATTGGTCCAATTTTGGTTTGCGATCTTACCCAGAATTTAACCTATATTTCTGTATAGGATAGTCATGTTGTGCAAGTTACCTTAGTGATGAACCCAGCTAAAAACTAATATGTCTTTAAGAGCCTAAAAAAAAAAAACTTTGCTCAAACTAATCTCAAACTTACCTGGGTAGCCACTTTTACCGGCTTTGCGCAAAAGGCCACACAGTACTGCACATATTAAAACAACAAAAAATCAGACAAATAAGTCTATTATTAATGCATCCTGTTTGGATAGCTGGGATGAAAAGAAAAGGAAAGAGGAGAGGAAACTGCTGCTTCTCAAATACTTTGTCCCGGGCCGTATGTCGCTTTGGCTTTTTAGCTTTTTTTAAAAACTTTTTTCATTGATGGTGGGGGAGAAAAAGGGAGCTACAAGGCCATATTTTGGCACACTTATGTAATAAAACCTGTATGACTTTCTTTCTTCTGCAGATCACAAAAGATCACCAACAACAACATTGGACCCCACTGACTTTCATTGTATGGACAACTCTTTTGTGTTCTGCAGAATCATGTCATGGACTCTCCCTTTAACTTTATTTTTACTGAACAGTTGTATAAAAACCACTCACAGTCATGCTTCAATAATAAGGCTTGCTCGAGTGATATTAAATAAATGGATTTACAGTAATTATTATGCATACAGCTTTCAGGACGAGCATTAATTGAGAAATTGCATTTAAAGTCTGTACTTTGAAAAACAACGTCACACCACATGACCATTTAAGTAAAACTATTATAGAACTAATAGAACTGTTTATTGCACCCAATTAAGTCCGATTTGACTTTTACCTGATTGACTAACTGGTGCTGCTGTACTGTTCTCTTTCCTCTAAATTCATCGGACTCGATGTGTATTTCGTACATTGCACCACAGCCTCCTGAAATGAACCCAAAGACATTACAGCAAACATACACGCATTTACCGACTGACTATTCAGATCTGAAGCTTCATTCGAAGTCAGGACTGACCTGATATATCCACAACCTTGAGCAATGAAGCTTGAGGAAACTTCACCTTCAACACTTGCGTGATTCGCGTCTCTCCATCAGTCAGACTGGATGAAGACCGCGCGATTAGATGTCTACACAACACTTGAGGCTAAAGACACGGAGAGACACGAATGTCACGATCATTTTTTACAATATGACATTATGCCCGCCTGGTATTTGACAAGGTGACAGTGCAACTTTATGCTGCGCGTGGGTCACAAACGACTGTCACATTAACGCATGCAACATGTCATTTTGAGCAAACGTAAGCAAAACACACGCGTTAAAATAAAGAAAGACAAGATTCAAATATTTACGTTGCATCTGATGCTTCTGAGCACAGACATTTTGGCGTCGAGGCAGTTCGTCACTTCATCAAAGTATAATAAAAGTATTAAGCTGAAAATAGACTTGACAAAGTCATGTCCTGTTCAATTCTAGCGCTCGTCTCATGAATATGTCGTCACCACCTTCAGGAACACATGACTGGTGGACGATGCGGAGAACATTTTGAAAATGACATCTAATCAATATAATTTATAATCTTTTTAAACCTAACTATTTTGTACCGTATCCGTGAAATTCTCTAGCCATAAAGGCTATCTCTCCCGGGTTTTCTGCAACCATGATGCGCGCGCATCCTGAATGTTTACATACATAAATTTTTGTATGTTTTGTTTTTAGTTGATTTTTGTTGCAGGTCATATGCTATTATTAGAATGAATAATTATGATGTTTATGGGTCATCCCATAAATAATAAGAAAACATATCAAAACCATATTATATTATGACAAATTTTTAAAACACATCAAAATTAAAACAGGAATTTCATGTGAGGGCATGATTTATTTTTTCTTTTCCAGATTTCACAACAGATTCAAGTCTGTACACCGGTGTTGTTTCATAGTTATAGTCAGTGTTTTTAAATCTGGACAGGGCTTGCTTGTTTGTTTTTAAAATTAAAAAAAGTTATATTTTTGGCAAATAAAAGCCTTTTCACATCAAAAGTGAAATGAATAAGCCTCAGGCTGAAGGGAAAGTAAATTTACGTCCGTACAGTAGAATGCAGAAGAAGAAATTTCAACACACTTCAGCAATAAAAAAAAGACACACAAATGTTTGTCTAGAGTAATTTTTGCTTATTAGTATTGTAGCGTCTGGACCAATCAAACACACAATTTTTCATTTGATTTAACAAATCAGTTATTCATTAGATTAACAAATCGTCACAGTCCCCTCACCCAATAAACTGGGTGCCAGGATGTCTGCAACGACACCAGGCCCCCCTGGTCCCCATGGTCTGGACAGGGCTTGCTTTTTTGTTTTTAAAATAAAAAAGTTCTATTTTTGGCAAATGTAAAAGCCTTTTCACACCAAAAGTGAAATGAATAAGCTTCAGGCTGAAGGGAAAGTAAATTTACATCCGTACTGTAGAATGCAGAAGATGATTTCAACACACTTCAGCAATAAAAAAAACCCACAAATGTTTGTCTAGAGTAATTTTTGCTTATTAGTATGGTTGAACTGGATCATCGAAGGTCAGAAGCAAAGACATTGGTTAATAGAATGGGATTAAATACATAAAGGATATTTGTGTTGTTTAACATTTAATTATTGCAGGTTTGCGTCATATTCCGAGTTGCATTATTTTTATTCATTTTGAGGAATACAGAATCTGTATTTCTTTTTTTTTTGTGAGGGAGATGAATTAATGCATATTCATATCTATTTTAGAACTACAGTAACATCTTCTGATTTCTCTCAACATGGGGACAGGAGAGCTGTCAATCAATACATTTGGAAAAAAAAAAAAAAAAAAAAAGAAACTTGCGTTACTTATTTGAAAAAGAAACTCAGATTCTCTTGTAAATTAAAAAGTAATGCGTTACTTTACTAGTTACTTTAAAAAAGTAATCTGATTACGTAACTTGCATTACTTGTAATGCGTTACCCCCAACACTGGTTATAGTTATTATAAAATGTGGAAAATAGTAATAATAAGTAGGTGCATTCAAACTTTTAACTAGTTGCATACATACTTCTTTAACAAAATAAACCTGGGCCTTCTGGTCTATAATTACTTTGCGTGTGTGGTGATATTTCTAGCTCAATAACAGATGACTTGAAGCCAACAATAAAGCACAGTTGCACTGTACTAAAAGGGTGTAGCCTTCTTGTATTTTTTTAACATACAGTATTTTGAATGCACTTCAGCACAGTTCAAACACTGGCTATAACCATAATGACAGAAATAACTTCACTTTATGACTTCTGTATGCAAAAGCAAAAAAGACAGAACAACAGTTCTCATTTCTGTTTGATATTACAATTGATGACCTTTCAAACAGTACATTTTATACATGCATATATTTTTTTCCAAATAAGAAATACACCAACAACTTCCAAACACCACTGTATACAGTCAATCACAAAATGTGACTTCAATGTGACAATGTCTTTGACAACTTTGTAACCAGATTATCAAAATACCTAAATTTACAGGAGATTCTCTATCATTAAGTCTGTATAGCTGGCATACATCAAAGCTTTAACTACTGTCTGGTATGAAGTAGCCATGCATGTCCATGTGGAAATCTACATCTATACATGCCCGGGCAACCTCTTTGAAAGACTTGCCATCAAGCACCAGTAGAAAGCCACCCTGCACAGGTTTGGCATTTATGATACATGTCAGGACTACACCTAAAAATTAAGAAAAGAGACAGCAAACAGCTTAGTGTTAAGATAAATTAAAAATCACTTAAAATGAAAAGCTATTTAAATTTAACTGACTTCCCCCCCCCCCCCGAGAATGTAATC